TTATTATTTCTTAATTGATATTGTCGCCGTATATACTATTTATCAGGGTATAGTTTCAAGTAAGAAGTAACTGTAAGTTTGATGATGGGGAAAATGCTTAGAAGCTATAATGACTGCCTGGATAATTTGACTTAGTTTTGATTTCTTAATCTTACATAGGAGAGCGCCCTTTCTCAAAAGTTAAAACTTTTGCCGCATTGCGGGTGGAATTGATCCAAATTATAATTTTCAGTAATGCACAGTGGTTTGAGGATTTTTGTTTAGGCTGTTGCTAAAGCAGTCACTAATGACATTTTCTATTTTCTGATCATATCTAACAAACTCAGATGTGGAAACAGTAAATTCGCGTGCTCATGCATTTGGCAGGTTGATGAAATAATTAACATTAGCTGTCCGCTTCGAGGAAGATATCAACAAGCACCCCCTGGACTTAAAAGGTGCTTGAAGTTATCTATGACTGATGGTATTCAGAGGGTTTTTGGAATGGAATACAGACCCATTCAAGCTCTTGAAGTCTGTGCTCCTGCTGGTTTGAAGGTTGGTGAGCACGTGCTTCCTCAATTAGCATGTTTTATCCTGTGTGAATTTAATTACAATAATAAATTAAGTATATAATTATTTTTTGTATGTATTAGTCTTATTGAATCTGATTTTTTTTTTTGGTTTATTTTAATATGGTATTGGCTAGTTTAAATTAGCTGCGGTCCATTCTTAGTTCTCTCACTTTTGTGCCTTTCCCATTACTTTATCAGTTCCTATGTCATTTATAAAACGCGGAAAACTTAATTGCATCTCTTTCCTTGCTAGCAAGGGTGACACTGAGGGATCTTTACTATACTCATAGGTTGCCATCTGTAATGTACACGTACGCCATGGACTTCTAATGCTGGTCCCTGAAACCATAGAAATCTTGGGGGGATTGGTCGAGCAGCTGGATGCAGCACGAAAGCGTCTTGTTGATGAATTGAATAAGCCTCCTAGGGGAAAAAGGTAGAATTTGTTATATCAGATGATTTAGACAAGGGCATGTAACGTAAAGTTATATTATAAAAACGAATGCTTCCCTAGTGCAAACTGGAAGTTTTCATGTTATTTCTTCATTCTTGCATAATTCCATGTTTAGTGTGTGACTATTGCTGGACAATTTTAATATATGAATTTATTTCACATGTAGACTCATCTAAAAACTTGCAGATCCATTACTGTAGCATCCTTTACTTTCATCTATCTTGATGTTAGTAATTGTTGTTGATAGGTCTGATGGCCATAATTATTGTGGAATTTAAAGGGTTTTTTCGAACCTAAATTTGCTGATTGATTAAACTATCTCTGTGATCCTGAGATGCAGAACTAAGAATGGAGTGCTTCCTCCCTTAGCAGCTAGAGCAACTCTTGCTGCATGGCCTTCAAGGGGAGCTGATGATATCACGCGCATTAATTCTACCATGCACACTACTCCTTCTATTCAGATAAATAATCAGCGTATGTTGTAGTCTTACTAACAGCTGAGCTTTTTTGTTTGTATCATTGGAATTGTTTGTCATCTGATACATTTTCCATGCCTGTGAAACTACAGATGCTAGCCTGAGAGTGTCTAGTGCTGCCAACAGATTAACAGCCGAAGATACTCCAGCCAGTAGTGCTCAAAATGCTGCTTCCAATTTAATACCTGACATGGTTTCAACTGTGGAAGCCACGCATGTGGACGACACACGTGCAGATTCTATGGCTACTCAACTTTCTGCTACCATTGCTATGACAAAGGAAATGAACATAAATACTGTTAATATAACTGGGGCAAATGCTGCAGGCAACTTATCTTCCCATGCAGTTTCAAGTGCCGTGGAGGAACACAATAATGATACCATTCATATAAAACAACAGAATTCTGTGGCTACTCTGTGCTCTCCTATTGCCCAAAATGCTATGGAGGGAAAGACGGATAGAAGTCCCATAATCATAGAGAGAGCTCTTGACGGGTCCTCCTCCAGGGTTTCAAATATTAATGATGTTGATATGGTTGAGACAACTGATCACCCGATGATGCTGTCTGGAGATCAGGAAATTCCTTTCACATACTTAGCTAGTTTGTCAACCAAGTGGGTGACGATGAAGGATAAAGCTCCTTCTATTCAGGGAAAAATTAAGGTATAAAGTTCTTTCTTGGATGAATTTTCTGTAGAGCAAGTTTCTTAATATATGAATGTCATCCAATATTTTACTGTATTTTATTTATAATGCATTTTTTTTGGTAGTGCTTCTTGACTGGTGTGAAGGGATTCCAATATAAGCGAAGGAAAACATATGAGCTTCAGGCATACGTTGATGATGGTAGCCTTATTTCTGAGATCCTTATAGATCATAATGTGAGTCTGCTCAAATATTGGATCTTTTATGATATTGGCATTGTCTTTGTCATGGTAATAATTTGATCGTTTATTTTTGTTTTTAGATTGTTCAGAAAGGGATTGGCTATTCTCCAGAGGAGGTCACTGTTGCCCTTTCTTCTGAAGACAAAAAAATAGTCCAAGACATGAAGGAGACTATGCGTACATTCCAATATTTTTTAGCAAACTTCGAGGTGATCTGACATATTTCATCTGAAAATTTGCTCGGTCATTCTTTCCCAGACCGTTTTATGACTTTATTCATTGTCTCCTTGTATTTTGTCGTAGGGAATAATGCTTGTGGAGTTAAATGCAAAGTCTTCTCTTCCAATTGCCATAGAGATGAGCCAAGGCTGTCCACCATGCGATGCGTGGTTACTTTTAAGAAGGCTGAGGTTCCTATTCCCTGCGCGAGCTCAAAGAAATTGTTCCTCAGATCCCATTCAATTATCCCCTTGATCATATCTTTATGGTGATGGCCTCAGAACTTGATCTGGAATAGTCGGTCTCAGAAATTCATCACTACCAGCACACAATGTTCTTGCCTTGATGTAAGATGAAACTGTGTAGTGATCACTATGCTTTTACCAAAACTAACCTATAATTGTGAAGAGGACATTATTGTGTACAGATGGTGACCATCTAACGCTCTGTGGGTGAGGACCAGGGGTTGACCATATACTTTTTCATCATAATCCTTTTTTTATTTTTGGTTGTGCTTTGGTAGGACTACAAGAGGGATTCAATTCTGAAGCATGCGATGCCAAGTCTCGTCAAATAGTTCATGAACATATACAGCGTCGGTAAATGTAAATGATTTAATCAATTTTTTTTTTTGAAGTGAAAATGATTTTATCAATTTATTATACTGTACATACATGTATCAGTGATTTTTAGCTTCGCAGCATTTTAACTAATTACATAAGGTTTTTCAATTCTTGCAGTCTCTCCTTGTTAATGTCATCACCCCATTAAACTTGAATATCCACGAGTGCAATATTATGCGGTCACCTCAGAAAAGGTCTTAGCTTTGGCATTTTATAGACCAGTTTCCCTTTCTGATTAATCTTCTTTAATCAGACCAGTTTTCCATTCTGAATGCTCATCGACATGATTGGAAATTGTAGTTTTGCATGTTCTAGCAGGGCTCGAGCTTTGTTTCTCCTACTGACTTGGGGTACGATATTTTTTTCAAACCACATAATTGAAGGAGCTTCTTGCCCGGAAAAAGCTTCTTGTTAAAGTACCAGCTTTGATCTTTAATATAAGAGATATGAGAGTTAGTAGAATGTTAAATTTGATCTTTAACTTCTTGATCGCATATACCAAAGGCTCAAATGATTTAAGAGGGTATTTTAAAAAAATCGATGTATATTTTTGACAAATAACCAAAATTATTTTCTTTAATCTATCTAATTTGGTTAACTAAATCTTATATTAAAGATTAGAGGTAGTATCTAAATCTGAAGGTTGAGATTAGCTTCCACCTTTTCCAACAACTCCAATATTTCAGGACTAAAAGCGTTCCAATAAAATCTGGTTCTAAGTTGCGACCACTGTGGGTGGGTGGCATTTATTTTTTACTCCCTTCATGACCGGAACCTTGAGATTTTTTTTTTCCAGGAAAAAAATGAAAGAAAGATAGGAGTCATTAGGCAATTAAAAAAAAAATAAAAAAATGAAATCTAAATTTAAAGAAAGTAGTTGTTGGCTACGGATCTGGTTTCTCCCTGTCTCTCTAGTGGTCGAAAAGCCATTTTGGCTGACTTTAGTAACCCGAAAGTTTGTGGTGCTCAATACCAAAAACATCGTGCATAAGTTTGTAACAAGATTTAAGGTTGCTTTAGATATTCGTGTTTTATTAATTGTAAATACAGCTATGAATCAGTGAATGTTTGAATGCTTCATGTGAAATAAATAGGGAACTAGTGAAAAAATGGAGCTTGGGTACGAGGACAAAGTTATGATCAGACTTAAAAAAATAGATGGAAACTCGCATTAGACGTTTATAATCCAAAATTTGTTCTTTACAATTTTCAACTTGCAAATTGCAAAATTCGTTTGTCAGTGCTTTTTTCACCCTTTTGTTCGGTTATATGTTTAGAGATGACGTGAAGATGTACAATATGGTTGCATCAAAACTTCGATATTTGGTTTCTGGTCAAGTTAAGCCCATGGTTCATTTTCGTAACTAAGCAGAAGACAAACATGTTTTCTTAACTTGTTCTAAACATATTAATACTGATCTGATTCTAAATCTAAAAATTAAATAAATAATTTACAGATATTAATAAAATTAATTATTATAATAAATGTATATTACTTTTTTTTGAATACCCTTTGTGATTATTACCCCAATTATTAAAAATATCATTTAATACATGCAATGGACAAAAATAATATGAAAAATTTTCTAGAAATTTACTACACAATGAATTGAGATTTTATATTTAAAACTAAACAAATCCTTTAATTAGCTCTTACAGAAGATAGTTAGTTTGCCATTTACAATGGTTCTCGAGGCTCGGGAAGATTTAGGAGCTACTAGGTAATTCAATTGTAAATACATATTCACCACAGGGCACAAGAAAAAGAACAAAATGAGCCACATATTTACCAAAAGTCCTTACAAGAGCAAGAACCCTCTTCAAAATCATGGAAACGATTTCTATCCCTTACAATGATTTTCCTTTGATACACTTTTGCAATAAACTTAATGGTAAAATGACAATCCTCACACACTCGCAGGTTCTTAAAAATTCGAATGGTTGTTCCAGGAGCCGTTGTAAGAATCCCAAAAGCGATTGCTAACTTCTCACTATGACTAGCTAATAAATTCTGTTTCTCTTGTTCCTCAAGATATTGTGTGCTCGATGCTGTTAGAGGCTCATATCCAGCAGATTGAAGTCTATGAAGAATTTCGTCTAACATTTCATAAATCTGGAAGGATTTGGGATGTGATTTATCTCCAGAGACAAATTCATGTACTGCATTATCAACTTCAATTGAGCTAGTTCCTGGGATTTTCTGTACATTTGCATTTTTCATCATCTTTCTCAGATTCGTTACCTTGTCCCATTTCATTGCTTGAGAATATATATTTGACAAAAGGACATAATTCCCATCTACATGAGGCTCTAATTCCAGAAGATTTGCTGTGGCTTCCTCTGCTAATTCAACGTTCTTGTGGATTTTACAGGCTCCAAGAAATGCCCTCCAAACTATGGCATCTGGTGACAAAGGCATAGTCTTAATGATTTCCATCGCCTCTTGAAGTCGCCCAGCCCGGCCTAAAATGTCAACCATACAACCATAGTGTTCAATCTTAGGATCAATTCTGTAAACACTAGTCATTGATTTGAAGTACATCCATCCTGTCTCAACCAAGCCAATATGACTACATGCACTTAATACACCAATGAAGGTAACATCATTTGGTTCAATCTCTTCAGCAAGCATCTTGGTGAAATATTCTAAAGCAAGATGGCCAAGCCCATGATTTGAAAAACCCATGATCATGACACTCCAAGTAAAGATATCCTTTTCTTTCAATCCCTCAAATATTCTCACTGAACTATCTATGTCCCCACATTTTGCATACATGTCTAAAAGAGAGGTCCCCAGTTTCATGTCTATTCCAATTCGGTTTCTCTCAATGTACTCGTGAATCATCTTGCCCATTCCTAAGGCACCAACATTTCCGCACGCATTCAACACACTGATTAGGGTGATCTTATCCGGCGCCACATTAGCAAGTTGCATATCATGAAAAAGCTTCAAAGCCTGGTTAGATTGCTGTCTTTGTTCGCTAGATGCAATGTCAAACAGTTTTTCAGATGCCCAAGCATCTCCAAGTGAGGCACACCCATGAATAATGGTGTTCCATGAAACCAAATCTCTTCGGGGCATTCTGTCGAACAGTTCATGTGCTTTTTGAATCTCCCCAAGTTTAACATACTCTGACAAAAGAACATTATAAGAAACTAAATCTGGTTCTTCCATAAAATCCAATATCTTAGCTGCACACTCTGTGAAACCACATTTAGCATACATTTCAATAAGCGCAGTTTGGACATACAAATCATGACAAAACCCAAGTTTCACCCCATGGGAATGAATCATTACGCCATTATCACAATCCATAAGCCTCCCACATGCTTGAAGAACCAGCGAGAGGCTGAAACTATCAAGCGAAAGGTCGTCGTGGAAGCGCATTTGGAAGTAAAGGGCGAGAGATTCTGCAGGCTTTTGAGCATTCAAGTAAGCACGCATCATGGTGTTCCAAATGAATGTGTCGGGAAGGGAAAAAGAATCGAATATGGAACGAGCATAATATAAATCAGCATCGTGGGGCAAAGAAAGGGAAATGACTGCATTTAAGAACTTGGACTTGAGGAAGTTGTTATGGCAAAAGAAACAAGTTTTGATGAAAAGGGCGTGAAGTTGAAGCAAGTTTGAGAGATTGATGTTCTGAAGAAGAGCCCCGACTCTCTGTTCAATGGCCTTTTTAGGGTGGCGCTGCAGAAGAAACTTAACGCTTAATGACATTCTCCGCAAGGTAGAAGGAGAGAGAAAGTTTACGTCCGTCAAACTACGGAATTTGAGGGGAAAGTGGAGGATTGAGCAGAGCATTTTTAAATAAACTAGTTTGGTGTCCGCGCGTTGCCGGGGTATATTTGAGACAAATAAAGTGAGGTATTTTTGGAACATCTTTTATTCACTATAAAATTATAATAGAAATATTTACGGATAATATTTTAGTTAAGCAGAACAATACATTAAGAACAGATTATGTGTATAAACTATAGAGGTTTAAAGCACTTTTAATAAATCCCTCAAAGCAAAGGAAAACCCAGTAAGAACAACAAGAATAATGTGTTCTGTCTGAATCCAAGGGTCAACATAAGCTTAGAAACCAATAAATATAAGATTCCTTCAATAACAAATCATGCCCATCATTTAGAGTTTAAGCACTACGGGGGTGTTTGGATAGAAACCAAACAATGATTTCAAAAATACTTTTACAGTTTACAAAGCAAATATGTGAAGGAATTTGTCTCGTTTTGCGGAAAAGTAATTTTAGAAAGTGCTTTTGGCAATAGCCAAACACCCCCATTATGTGTCTTTTCTAAGGCTATCTCAATTACGTACATATTCTAGTAGCTACAAGCATGATAGAGTTTCTATAAACCAACCAAAAAGGTGTGGTGCAGAAGTAGCTTATTATACAAAAGCTCAAGTAAAATAACAATTAACTAAATAAAATAAATAATGGTAGTATCATTACTCAAATAAAGTACATACATTTTCCACAAGCTCCAATGCTAGATCTTTGGCTGATTTACCATCAAGATAATATATTGAACCAATCAAATTGCTGAACTTATTAACACCTTTTAGGACAATCTGAACCTGCATATGACCACATAGATATTCAGAAAATTGGTAGAAGTTTACAAAAAAATGTAATCTTATAGAAGTAGGCCACTTACAATTCAAAAAAAAAAATCATTTGTGATTTTCAATAAAAGGTAAAGTAGATGGATATTTAGCACGAGGTACATTAGCTGTATTGATCAACAGTCACTAAATCCATTTGATTGAAAATGTACTAACAGGGACTTGTGCATCGCAGGATTTGATATGAAAATTAGGTAGTCTGCATCAATTTTCTAACTAAAGCTTCAAATACAAATATAATAATAAGCATTGATAAAGTGTAGGATAATTAAAACCAAATAATTGTTATCACTTTACATTATGTTCCTTCGTTGAACTGTGATCGAAACCTTATATATTATACTTACAAGTTAGATGAAAGAAAGAAAATATGTTATACATTAGCAACATTTTTATTTGTCATCATGACTAAAGTGGCCTATCCTTGCATAGAGAGAAGAGTCAAACTTGGCCATTTGCTCCAATACATTCAATATCCATAGCATCACAAGTGGTGCCACTAATGGGGCTACCTATTGTTCATTCCTCACCAATTAATGCCTTCCAAATACTACTTTTTTACCGTTGATATTACAGGAACATAATTTTCTTCATCAAGATTCTCTGATTCCTATAGATAGCATTGATGATAAATAATCAGTTAAAAATAACCCCTTGAATGGACGTATAGTACCTACTTTTGGACATAATAAACTCAATCTATCTTGCATCTAAACATATACTTAAGCTATTGATATCCTGTTTTGCTTACCAACTCCACCTATCACTACTTTTTTTTTTTTTTCAACGTTAATAATATAACAACAATAAAGATATACTTATCTTAATGCACCCTTCCTCTTTGAATTTATAATTCCTAGAAACCTTTAGTTCAAATCCATTAAGGCTAGCTTAGGAAGCGTGGGAGGGACCTAGGTAATGGTATGGGGGTAAAATTTTCTATATGTAAAAGGAAATTTGGACCTCTTCAAATGAAATATCTCTATTAAATTGAATAGCCTAAATATTAATATATATCATTTTAGTATTCTTATGTTCAAAAAAAATTATGACACAAAATAAAAATAAATTTTCACAATAATTTTTAGAGAGTGATTCATGAATATTAAAAAAAAAGGATAAAGAACAGTGTTATCTAAACAAATCAAATTTACTACAATACCAACAACGGTAATGTGTTCTGAGAATCCAATTTGTCTTTATTAATGCCTCCCTATCATTTGGTGGTCTTGTTCAGTATGTTGAGAAGTAATTGTTGGAAGGGAAATAAAGAGAGAGTTTGTGAGTTCTCTAACCTTTGAATGTATCTCATAATTTATATATTCCTACATATATAACTACATCTCTTTGCGAATCTGAAAATATATTCATCCTCCATTTTCCACGACTCCTGAACGACCTTGGCCGCTCGTTTTCCCACACCCATCATCTTCTTCTCCATCAACTACTAACTTGCACTGTAGCATTGTCTTCCGATGGTCAACAAAGACATTGTTGTGGTGATCGAGTGGGTTTGAAACCAAGCATGGGATCCCAATGATATGGAAATAGAATAAGAAAAATACTGAGCATGGGGCTTGATAATGAGAGAAAATAGAATAGAAAGGAAAAATGCACAATAGACAAATGTCACCAGATTTAGAATTTCATAGATTCCCCCCTCATGCTTCAACCAAATCTTCCTTCCAGCGAGAAACTACCGTGCCAAAGTTCCTGAACTTTGAAGATTGAAATTAGAAAATCTTGAAAAAGAAAATTAAGTTCCTGCAATATCAACTGTACAAAAGTAGTATTTTGAAGGCATTAATTGGTGAGGAATGAACAATAGGCAACCCCATTAGTGGCTTCACACGATCACTTCAAATGAAACTAAAACTCCCCAATTCTCAAGCCTACAAACACATGAAACTGGCCGCAATCGTAGATATGAAGCCCTCCCACTGGACAAGGCACACCCTTAAATACGGCACTAATATTTATTTTAGAAGTATGTCTTTTTTTATGAAATATTAATTTTAATTTATTATTTGAAAGATTATTAAATGTAATTTAACATCTAAAATATTAATTTGAACCCAAAGAGTAACCAATTGCTACTTTTTAATGAAATATTAGTTTTAATTCAAAATTTAAAATATTAATTAAATTAATTTAAAATATAAAATATTAACTTAAAATCAAAAAACTGCCCAAAAGAAAGCCTTGAAATACAGCACAATAATGTGGTGCAATGATCAAAAGTCACAACTGCAGAGATTCCTTCAAATTTTTATTTTTATTAAAAAAATTTCTTATTTATCTATGATGGCAGTGTGCCACGTGGCATGCTGTTAGCATGCAGTTCCGGCAACGGCACCTTTTTTGGAATTAATGATCCTAACTAAACAAAAAATATTACTTCACTTAAGTATAATTAAAAAACTGCCAACGTTCATCCTTAAAAGAGATAATTTTTTTTAATTTAACAGCCACCTTATATTGAAGAAATAGCTCATGTTCAAAATTACTTGAAATTAGGAAATTAAAAATAAATTTGTAACATGATATTTGCATATTTTTTGCATATAAAAGTTCATTATATTTATTTTTGAGAAAAGCCTGTCACGTGGCATAATGTTAACATGTTTTGCTCAAAAAACTGTCCACATTCACTCCTAAAATGGATGATACTTTAATTTATTAGCTAGTATATATTCAGAGAACTTCACACATTCAAAATTATTTGTAATTATAAATTAAAAATAAATTTGAAACGTGAGATTTTTTTTCCTGTCATGCATAAGCGGTTCTATAAATTGTGCCCACATTTATTATGAAACTATCCATCCACGTTTCATAGTGCATGATCTAAAACATGGGTGTCGCCTTTTTTCTTAAAAAAAAAAGAAAAGAAAAAACATTTATCTTATCATTGGTGATGCCACATGTCATGCCGTTAGCTACTCATGTCTTAAAATTTATTTTTATATATTAATAGACTGCTTACTACTCCGTCGTATCTTAAACGTAAAATTCTTTTTATAATGTTAGAACCCATAAAATAGGGTCTACGTTTAGGAGGAGCAGCATAGCAATATTCAAGCAAGTTAAGTGGGCTTATGTGGCGAAAAGTTAAGCAGGAAAGGCAATTGCATTAGGTGGCCACAATATGCAAGAACACAGAAATAATAAAAATAAAAGGGTTAAGCTGTATTTAGCAGTCCAAGTATTTTTTCAAATATATTTAACACCCAAAATATTTTGCAGTATATCTAGTATCTTAAAATATTTTTTGGGAATGTCTAACACTCTAAAATTTTTTTTTCCTAGTGTTGGATACACCAAAAAAATATTTTTGGGTACTTGATGTAAGTAAAAAAGATATTTGAAAGTACTGGATGCACCAAAAAATATTTCATTATGCTAGATGCACTTAAAAAATTATTTCAGGGTATTGAATATACCACAAAATATTTTAGGGTATTAAATGCACCCGAGAAAATATTTTGAAGTACTGGATACCCCTTAATCCAAAATAAAAACAAGGAACGAGGTGGCGTTTTTTCACGAAAAATCTTTTATAAAGAATCTCACCAAATTGAGGTGCCTAACAATTTAAAATAATAGAGAAGAAAGTGAAATCTAAATTGGCATTTTAAAAAATTGTGAAATTACCTGTATGTTATTTTGTGCCAAAAAAAAAAGTTATGGAATTTGTCATTTTTAATTTAACACTTATCATTATCAATTTAATACTTGTTATTTCTAATTTGCAACTCAATAATTAGCTAACTAACTAAAATAACAAAGTAAAGAGTTATGAAACTTGTCATTTTCAATTTAGTATTTGTTATTATTAGTTCAACACTTGTCATTTCTAATTATATTAATGTCATTTATTCACATAAAGGCATTTTTAAGAAAAATGTGAAATTACCCATATGTCTTTCCGTGATAAAAAAAAGTTATGAAATTTGTCATTTTTAGTTCAACACTTATCATTGTCAATTTAATACTTATCATTTCTAATTCACAACGTAGTAATTAATTAACTAACTAAAATAACGGAGTAAAAAGCTATGAAAATTGTTATTTTCAATTTAATATTT